GAAGGCCTCACCATCCAGGGGGAGCAGAAAGGATATGTGATAGGTAGGGTTTTAGTTGGGGGGGGGGATAGGGGAGGACAGGAGGGAGAATGGAACTGGGATTGTCATGTAAAACAATCCTGTTTCTAATTCAAATTAAAAAATCAAAAATCTATTATTTGTGACTGTTTCACAATAACAAAATTGCTTTAAATACACATCAAACAGCAGCTGTTCTCCTACCAAGGAAAAAGAGATGCTTCCTCACTAAGTATGACAACTGAATAGTTCTGTCTCATTTTAGATACTTAGGAATTCATGGGCAGCTCCTTTTTTAATCTTGTTTTTCTCTGTCTGTCCATCCATCCGTCTTACTGGTCTGTAGACAGGGTCTCATTATGTTGCCCAGGCTGGCCTCAAATTCCTAGCTAGGCTCAAATGACACTCCTGCCACAGTTTCTCAAGTGCCGAGTGTTGGTGTCCACCTACCATGTTCAGTTTTTTTATTATGGGATGTTGCACTTTATGAATTTATTAAACTATTAAACAGAAACCTTAATATGAATTATTTTCTAATCTGTTAGTGCACATAAGTACCTTTTCGGAGTGTACATATTAACTTGTATTCTGTTTGTGTTTACCTTACTTTATATATGCATCTTCTCATATTAAAATAGACATGTTATTACATAAAATTCTAATAATTATTCCCTTATTTTGATTGTCTGAGTTGTTTCCAAAAGCTTTTATCCTTCTATAAATGCCTATGTGTAGATTATTGTTTCCTTGGAGTATATTTCCAAAACAGGGATTCTGGATAAGGATAAGATTAGCTTCCTAGCATTTACAATACGCTGCCAGACAAACCAGAAAAAAACAACTAAGTAATTGATTTTTATATCAATAAGATAACACATACCTTTCTGTTTTTACTACCTCACCAGCATTGGGGTTTTATCATTTATTTTGCTACATTAGTAATTTTCATGTACAGAATTATTTTAATTTCCTTTAATTCCTAGCAACAACAGCACATTTTTTTTGTTTTCCTCTGTTCCTTTTGTCTACTAGTGCATGATTATATAGTGGGGGCTATGTACTTTTGTATATATTAGTACTTAAAAATATCCCCAGGCTTGATGGCTTGGCAGCAGGATTATTATAAGTTGTAAGCAAGCCTAAGCTACTTAGTGAATTTCAAGCCATCCTAAACTATAGTCTAAGACCTGTCTCAAAAAACCCCATGTATACATGCATACATGTGTGTATAGTGCTCCTAGATGAGCCTAAGGGGTCACTCACTTGCTAAAATGTCTTACCACTGAAATCCTGACTCTGATTTTTGGTTTGGTTTGGTTCAGTTTGGTCTGGTTTTGAGTCAAGGTCATACTATATAACACAAACTGGACTCGAACTCATGAGCCTCTTGCATAAGCCTCCCAGATGCTGGGATTCCAAGTGTGCACTACCACAGTCAGTTCCCCTTATTCTTTAAACTTAAGTTAGGGCAAACTTTTATTATTCAGATGTGTATTGTATGTATTTCCTTTGTATAACTTTTTAAATATGAAATTCATTGTATGAACTATTTTTCACTTCCTTAGAAATTGGGAAATCATCTTTACATACACTGTTCTGGTTCTCACCAATTTTTAAAAGTTGTAAGTTATCTGACTACCAACTCACGTGTACATACTGATTTCTGGAAACTATAAAAATACAGAAAAGAACCCAGAAAAAAAAAGATTTTAAAACACAATTTAACCACTGAAGAAGCCATTGTTTTTGTTTGTGGCTTTTTGTTTATATTAAGCTTTTATAAGCACACTTGTTTTTAGAAAATGTTCTCATAAAGTAGACATTGCAGTCTACTTTGTGCAACATAGTAATATATGATGAGCCCTGTCCCATTTTAGTAAGTAGCTTCTCATAACTCAGTTTCATACCTATCTTATCATAATATCTTCAGAATTTTTTGATAAGCTCTTGATTAACTTGTTTTCATAAATAGTAAATTTTCTGTCTATTTCTAAATTGCTAATTTCATTCTCTTGTTGTTTATGCAATAGACTTTAAAATTTCTTGCTGATTTCTATGGTTTTTTTTTTTGTTGTTGTTGTTTTGGATTTCAAGACAGGGTTTCTCTGTGTAACTCTGTATCTTAGTTTGGATTTCTGTTGCTGTGAAGATACAATGACCACAACAACTCTTATAAAGGAAAACACTTAATTGTGGTGGTTTACTTGCAGTTCAGATGTTTAGTCTATTATCATCATGGTGTAACATACATGGTGGTATACAGGCAGACAGGCTGCTGGAGAAGGTGCTGAGAGTTCTACATCTTGACCTTCACCAAATTCATAGACACGAAGTAAAAATTTATTGTCAGAGACTGGGAGGAGAAGGCAACTAGTAAGTTTAATGGTTGTAGAGTTTCATTTTGAAAAGATGAAGTAGTTTTGGAAGGTGAATGGTGGTAACATTTACACAATGATGTTACTTAAAGTCATTAAACTGTACTCTTAAAATTACTAAAATGATACATTTTATGCTACACATATTTTAGTGTGATTAAAAAAGATATTAGCAAAGGCCAGCATGATGAGTAAGCAGGTAAAAACACTTGCCACAGAAGCCTGATGACTTGAGTTTGATTCCAGAAACCTTAAGTAAAAAGAAACAGCTATAAAGGTTGCCCTCTGACCTCCATGTGTGTCTCATATCATGAGCATGTGTGCACATGTATGCACACACTCTCACACACACACCGTATGCAGTAATAGTTAAGATTTTACAAATAGAATTCATGAATAAACCTAGTTTTGATAGTAATCCCAGAGCAAATGTATGCTTTATTCAGTGAAACTTGGAATTGAGTATTCTCTGGTCTGTTCCCTTATAAGTTGAAGCAACTCTGAAAATGTAGCATGTTTAGGGGTTGGGGAAATGACTCAATTGGTGAAACACTTGTCTTGCAATCATGAGGACCTGAGTTTGATCCCCTGAATAAACATAAGAATGTCAGGAATGGTATGCATGCTTGTAATCCCAGCAGTGGGGAGGCAGCCACAGGAGGCTTCTGGGTCTCACTAGCTAGCAAGTCTAACCTAATTTGTGGACTAGGTTAAAGAGAGCCTGGAACTCAAAAGGAGGTGAATGATATTCCCGAGGATGACACCTGAGGGTTTCTTCTGGCCTGCACATGTACTCATACACATGTGCATGAAAAGGCAACACATTTGGAAAAGATAGTAAATCAAGTACTCATGAAAATATCTTATAGCCAAAAACATGTAGTAAGGGTTCTTTCTATTGGTGCTGACAAGAAAGGATATTGGATATTCAATGTATTTGGGAGGAAAACATTTTTAGAACAATATGTAAAGTATTTTTCCCCTTTGGTGATAGGAAAAATTAATCAGTGAATGAACAATTCCCGTATTGTATCTAAAACTTTACTTAATATAGTTTTAATTTATAGTAATATATGTATATGTAATATTCTTAACATAGATATGGATTGCAAGATAGATTCCAATTTTAGAAAGCTAAACTGTAAAAGGAAGACACTTTAAACTGAAGCAAATGAGGTAGATGTGTGTCTATGTATATACATACATTGTGTGTATCTGTATAAACAAATATTGCCGTAATTTGTACACTAAGAATATCCTGACCATTTCTTAATTCTGTGTTAGGATGCAACAGTAAAATGAAACTCAGTGGCCGACCCTACAGGCTCATGGGTGTGCTTGGAACATCAAAACTCTATGACATTCGCAAAACAATCTTTACTTTCACTCCACAGGTAAGTGGGATAAGCTGCAACATGCATTGAGATGAGTGGAAATAAGAGGGAGAGAGACTGCAGAAATAAAGCATTTGCTGGAATTGGATTAGTCACAGTCTCACAGAGCTTTGCATATATCAAATGGCTCAGTAACTGTTGAATTGAACTGAATTGAACTTGCTGCATAGAGCTTTGCCAAGTGACTGTCGCTAAGAGCAGTCCTGGGTATTAAACTGTAACTGGAATTTTCCAAATGTTCAGGTACTTAGAGAATTTTCCTTATTTTCAGAAATCAAACTAAGACTGTGTTTGTCCTTTATGAGTGAAACACACTATTTTATTTAACTGCTAAATTATTTCCTATTGTGAAGGAGCTCTTTCATTTGCATAGAATCTTCAGTTTCCTCTTTTACAGAAAAATATCAGGACTATTACGATGTAACTATACATATTGGTGACCTGACATTTGTTAGCTACATAATAATAGATCTAAGATCAATTGCATATGTGTATGGTAGTAGAAATTACTTTCTGTGAAGGAAGCTAGGGATGGTTTCACATGCTTGTAATCCCAGTGCTTAGGAGGACAGAGCAGTACATTTAGAGCCAACCTGGGCAACATGGTTAGCAAGGTCAGTGTATAAGCTATTTGGGAATATTCTGTTTCAACCAAGGGCTGAAGATGGAGCTTAACGGTGAAGTGTTTGCCAAATATGCACAAGGCCCAAGGTTTAATCTCTAGTAGCACAGTAAATACTTTCTGGAAGAAAGAAATTAATTCTGTCATATCTATCTAACATCTAAGATAGACATAGACAAAAGATGAACTGATTCTAGCCTCTATTTCTAACTTTTCCATTTGCTAATCAAATGTGTGTGCTAGTCCACATACTGTCTCTCAGTCTTATTCTTCATATTAAAAGGAAAATGGCAAGTTGAGAATAGTGGTGCATGCCTGTAATCCCAGAACTCAGGAATTATAGAGCAGGGCATTATGAGCTCAAAGCTAGCCTAGGCTACATAATGAGAAATTAGGAAGAAAAGGAGGAGGGAGAGGGGGAGCTGCTTACACTAGGTGATTACAGGATTAAATGAAATTATATACTTGAAAAGATTTGTAGGCAGTCACACACATTAAAAATATCAGAAACTAGCTTGGCAGTGGTGGCACATGCCTTTAATCCCAGCACTCAGGAAGCAGATGCAGGTGGATCTCTGAGTTTGAGGCCAGCAGCCTGGTCTACAGAGTGAGTTCCAGGACAACTAAAAGTCTCAAAAAATCCAAAAAAAATATCAGAAACTATTGTTGTACATACCACTGGCCACCACATACTTTGGGAATTATTAAGCATTAAATTTGAAAGTACTGTTTCCTCTGTGACATATATGCTTTATGGATAAGTGAGCATTGAAAAATATTATTTGGTATTGTGAAAGCAATTTTTTCTGAATGGTTGTTTTTCCTTTATTCAGTTTATAGACCAGCAACAATTCTACCTGGCTCTGGACAACAAGATGATAGTAGAAATGCTTAGAACAGATCTCTCCTACCTCTGCAGCCGTTGGAGGATGACGGGCCAACCCACCATCACTTTCCCTGTCTCACACACCATGCTTGGTATGGGAATGAGTGAAATTAGTCATATGTGTGATCCTTCAGCATCCCACTGCAGAACAGTGCCCATTGGCTTACCTTTTGTGACAAGACAGTTTTCTGAGCTCTGGACACACAGGGTGATAGGCAGGCAAAGTTTCTGTTCTATTTAAACTTATGTTTTAGGAGATGAAGACAGATGATAAATCTGAAACAAGTGGAAGTATCAGAATATTTCACATTGTTTTAGAGCCATAATGTACAAAATTGGAGCAGGGACTAGCTTTAGATAATTGATTTCTGAGTGAGTTTTCCAAAAATTGTATTCATTAGCTCTTTTTAAAGAGAGTACTATTTTATTCCAACGGAGCATCAAGCTTTATAAGGAAGTTCCCAGGCTTCTCCTTCCAAAGCCTGTCTTACTGAATAAGTAAGAACTAGGAGCAGAAAGTGCAAAGATTTTTGGTTTGTATTGGGGGCAGAGAGAGATGCTTCTACACAAGGAAGACTTTATTGTTCTGAGTTCCTGCTGCTTTTTTTCTGTGTCTCTGCTGTTGCTTCCAAAGGTCTGTGTGTACTGCCAAAGTGCATAGAATTCCTTTTCATGAAAAAGAACCCTTTATCATGAATCATTCAAAATCCAGACAGACTGGTAGGAATTTTGGTCACATTTGAAAAGGGCTACAAAATAATAGGAGCTGAAAGTAGGGTAGTTTTTGTTCTTTTTGTCTTTTTTCTTTACCTGGGACAATTAGCAAGTGCCCATTTAATAACTAATGTATTCTGACAATTGTCTTGAGATAGTGTACATTTTAATTTAGAAGGCAAAGTTAATAGGCAATAATAATAGAAGACAAATTCAAGACAGTACATTACAAAGTACTAAAGCACTGAAAGCTATCAGGGTGCCAAAGAAGAAATTTCAGCTGATGTGGGACTTAGGCTTTTGAATTTACTTTTTTGGTTTTCGTTTTTGTTTTTGTTTTTTAAGACTTATTTATTTATGATGTGTACTGTGGCCTGGCTGCTTATATCCCTGCAGGCCAGAAGAGGGCACAAGATCTCATTACAGATCGTTGTGAGCCACTATGTGGTTGCTGGGAATTGAACTCAGGACCTCTGGAAGAAAAAGCAGTGTTCTTAACCTCTGGCCCATCTCTCTAGCCCCTTGGTTTTCATTTTTATTATTTTTTATTTTTTATTTTTATTTATTTATTTATTTTGGTTTTTCGAGACAGGGTTTCTCTGTGGCTTTGGAGGCTGTCCTGGAACTAGCTCTTGTAGACCAGGCTGGTCTCGAACTCACAGAGATCCTCCTGCCTCTGCCTCCCGAGTGCTGGGACTAAAGGCGTGCACCACCAACGCCCGGCTTGGTTTTTGTTTTTAAACAATATTTTTAAATATATATGAGTGTACACATGAGCATGTGTCCACAGAGGTCAAAAGAGGGTGTCAGATCCTCAGGAGCTAGAGGCACAGCTTTCGTTAAGCACCTGATATGGGTGCTGGGACCAGAACCTGGGTCCCTTCACAAGAGCAACAAATGACCTTAACCATTGAGTCATCTCTCCTGCCCATGGAATTGTTAATATTAACATAGGAGGAGGAAAGAAAACTGAGATCTTAACTGAGGTAGGGGATACCATGAATGAGGACTGGACAGAGAGATGGGCCTGTATATAAGACTAGTAAAGAGACCAACCTGAACAGATTAGAGTACTATGATAAACAAAACTGGCAAAGATAGGATCTGATTAGGAAAACTTCTCCGAAAATAATCAGAGACATTTAAAACAAGTTATATAAGAAGTTTAAGCTTTCAAAAGCTTTTTAGTAAGGAGTGACATGAAATGAGTTGTTTTTAGGGAATATTAGTTAATGGCAGTACCCTTAGTAGTAGTCACCAGAGTAGACTGGCATCAAGGAAATTAATGCACATGTGAGGTGAGGAGACAATACCCTGTATTGGTTATATTAAATATAGAAAAAGATGTTACAAACACCATTTCATTTTGTCTATTTGATTTTCCTTTCTTCTTGCTCTTTAAATTTTTTTGAGACAGAGTTTTAGTCTATGGGCTAGGCTGGCTAGGCTGGCTTGAATCTCACCAAGCTGACTTGAACTATAGCAGTTTTCCTGCTAAGTCCTCCTAAATGCTGAGATTGCAGGCATTAGCCACTGTGCCTAGCTATTTTATTTCATCTATTTATTTTTATTTTGATTGTTTTATGTATCTAGTATATGTGCACATGTGTGTCCATGTAATGGCTCTTATGTGAAGGTCAGAAGACGATTTGCAGAAGTTGGTCTTCTCCATCATGTGTATTTCAGGGATCAAACTCAGATCATCTGACTTGGCAGCAAATATTTTTACCCATTGAGCAATCTCACTTACCCTGTTTGATTTCTAAGACTGGGTCTTATGTATGTAGGGTTAGGGTTTTTCATCTAGACTGCTGATCAGCTCTGTTCCACCAGCCACTCTGCAAATAACCACACAGAGACTTACTATTAATTATAAATGTTCAGCCAATAGCTTAGTTTGTTATTAGCTAACTCTTACATTTTAAATTAATTCATATTTCTTATTAGGCTCTGCCACATGGCTCGGTACTTTTTCTCAGTACAGCAAGTTCATCTCCTACTTCTGCATCTCCTTGCAACTCCTTCTCCTTCTTCCCAGCATTCTCTCTGCCCAAATCATCCTGCCTAGCTATTGGCCAGTCAACTTCTTATTAACAATGAGTGCAACACATCTTCACAGTATACAGAATTATTCCACAGCATATGTAGCCTAAACTGTCTTCAAACTTGATATATAGCTAAGGCTGGCTTTGGATTCCTGATCTTCCTGCCTCTGCAACCCAAGTACTGAGATTACAGATGTACACCACTGTGTCTGGATATCAATGTTTTTTTGTCATTTTGTTTTGTGTTTTTGAAGCAAAGTTTCACTATATAACCCAGACTATTGTGGAACTCATTATGTAGACCACCCTGACCTTGAACTCATGGCCCTCCTGCCTCTGCCTCCTGAGTGCTATTAGAAAGGACAAATTAGAGAAAGCAAATCACAAGACTATCATCAGCTTCATATAAAAACCAGATTATTACCCTTATAGAAGATTTTATGCACACACGCGCGCGCGTGTGCGCGCGCGCGCGCACACACACACACACACACACACACACACACACACACACACACACACACACACACACACACACACACACACACACACACACACACACACACACACACACACACACACACACACACACACACACACACACACACACACACACACACACACACACACACACACACACACACACACAAAGAGGAGAGAGAGAGAGAGAGAGAGAGAGAGAGAGAGAGAGAGATCAAGGCTTACTATGAGTGATACAATCTGTACTGTCTGGTTTTGTGTCAACTGGATGCAAGCCAGAGTCATCAGAGAGGAGGGAGCCTCATTTGAGGAAATGCCTCCATGAGATCCAGCTTTAAGACATTTTCTCAGTTAGTGATCTGTGGGGGAGGGCCCAACCCATAGTAGGTGGAGCCACCCCTAGCCTGCTGGTCCTGCATTCTATAAGAAATCAGGCTGAGCAAGTCATAGTGAACAAGTCAGTAAGCCAGTAAGCAGCTCCCTTCTACGGCCTCTGTATCAGCTCCTGCCTCCAAGATCCTGCCCTGTTTGAGTTCCTGTCCTGACTTCCTTCAGTGATGGGCAGCAATGCTGAAGTGTAAGCCAAATTAACCCCTACCTCCCCAACTTGCTTTTTGGACATGTTGTTTTGTCACAGTGATAGAAACCCTAACTAAGACACCATCTATGAGATGCTTAAAATAATGCTTATAGCATGATCACAGTAGACGATCCATAGTCTGTAAGGTTAAGATATCCTTATTGAGATAAATACCAGCTAAACGCAAGCCAGAGTGTGCCCAGGGCAACAGAGCAGCGAGGCCAGAGAGAGAAGGGGCTTCCCATGTGCTCTGCAGCCCCTTAAGAGCCCATCCTGAGTCATCCTGACCTCACCTTGACAGTCGTGGTCAGGCACACCTGTAGCCAGCCTCTAACAGGTGCGGCTTACTGTCCCCTACAAATGCTAATCCAAATGATTCAAGGAGAATGACCACCAACCCAAATCATCATGGCCAAGTTAATTAAAGCAAGCAATTAACTAAAGCAAGTTGTTTTATTCATGTACATGGACTGCCTCCCCCTAAGGTGAAATTCAAGAGGTCAGCCTTGGACATGGCCGGGTGTTATGGGTTTCCAGATGGGGGATTTGTCAGGCAAATGGGCAGAGTTACAGAAGCAGCATTACAAAACAGTCATAACAGCATAGTCATCACAACCTTGTGAAACAAAGGTAAGTTTACAGGATGGTCATTAAAAGTTTTTGAAGCCAGACAGTGGTGAAATACACCTTTAATCTGAGCACTTGAGGGGAAAAGGCAGGCAGATCTCTGAGTTTGAGGTCCCATGACAGCCAGGACTACACAGAGTAAACCTGTCTTGAAAAACTGAAACCAAAACAAAACCCAACTCTTTGAAACAAAGACATGGTTGCTGTTTCCTGGAATAGGCAGTATAGAACCATTTGTAGTTAAGGTTACAAGTGGATCATAGACCAATCTTGGAGAAACAGAGATTTAGGAATGAACCCCGTTTATTTTTACTGTAAGATAGCTTTCAACTCTAAGATGGAGGCAGCCTGTGTCATAAACATTTGATAAATAGCTGATGTTGTTAACAGTGCTGGTTACTTGGAATGAAAATAATGCCTTTGAAGAACTTAATCTTTACCATTTGTCCATTCTACAGTCATGTTGATCCTCACATTAATCATTGAAGCACAAGGTGTTCAATAAGGGGTGTCTCATCATACAATGTTGGTTTGAAATAACTGAAAGATTTCCCCCTACTTCTAAGTTAAAACAACAAATATTGTTTGTATAATCTTTCCCTTTGAAGATGAAGATGGAACCAGCTTGAATTCAAGCATCCTGGCAGCACTCCGAAAAATGCAGGATGGCTATTTTGGTGGGGCAAGGTAAGTGACCTGTACCCTGAACAGGGGAAATGTAACACAACAAACTGTCAATAATTCTTGAGCCCTGCTTATCATATGAGAAAGTTACATTTAGATTCAGATAGATGCTGAGACAGCATACACGGTTATAATAATTCACTGTCTTTCTCAAGATACCGTCTCAGGAGGCACATGAGTGTCTGCTTCCATTGATTCTTGCATGGAGGAACTATCACTGGATTGTAAAATAGCCTTCTAGAAATTTGTTTGTATACACACATATAAACCAGTGCTCACTTTGACAATGTTTCTATTACTTGGGATACTTATATATAAAAATTATCTTATTTTGTGGTTTATTATTAGTATATATTCTTTGGATTCTTATTTTATTCAATATATCATGACCCATTCCTGTTATTATTTCTTTCATTTTTTTAAATTATCCACGGTCTGGCCATTGGTAGCCCCTTTAAACTGGCTTCTTTAGAAAACTGATGTTATTAAATTCATTTGGAGATTTGTAATCAGCTTATTAAGTAGAGAATGATATAAGTCAACTTAATTTATTACAATGTATAAAAATTTCAAATATTGTCTATGTCCAAAATGGTCTTTTGATGACACTTCAAATTTTTTAAGATTTCTTTTTATTGTTATTCTATGTATATGAGAGTTTTGACTGCATGTATTTCTATGCACAGTGTGCATGCCTGATTCCCACAGAGGCTGTAACAGAGTACCAGATTCCCTGGAATGGGAGTTCAAGACAGTTGTGAGCTACCATTTGGGTGCTGGGAATTGAGCCTAGGTCCTTTGGAAGAACAGCCAGTGCTCTAAGCCACTTAACAGTTTTTTTAGCTCCAATGGTATTTTTTAATAACTTGATAGATTTATAAATCTATAAATTTATCTTCATTCTCTATCCACCTTTCTAATAGCTAATGCAGTTTTTTTACTAGACACTCAGCATAGTGTACAGCAATGGAAGAGAGTAAAACTAATCTGTTGGAGGATTGTGAACTCTAATTAGTGGCCTTTCTTTTAAAATCTTGTCCCTAAAACATGCCAAGCCTTATTTTCTTGACAATTGTGGCTTACTTGTATATCTTTTAAAAAGATGTTCCCTGATTTTCTGTTTTCTACCTACCCTGTAATTGTAAGGATCCAGACAGGTAAATTGTCAGAGTTTTTGACAACGTCCTGCTGCACACACTTAAGCTTCATGGACCCTGGACCTGAGGGTAAGCTGTACAGTGAAGATTATGATGAAGACTATGATGAGCTGGAATCAGACAACTGGATGGATAGCTATGATTCAACAAGTAATGGTAAGGAGGCCTTAAACAGCATTGGCTGGCCAGACAAGAATAGAAATAGTTGTTTAGCTTCATCATTAATAACTCAAGTTTCCAGCAATCTCATAGTATACCATCCTCTTTAAATACATTTAGATTTCTACTTTTGTTTGGCTTCATTTTTCTTTACTTCTCTTTGGCTTCCGGTCTAATATCTCTGTGGTAACTGATTGTGGAGTATGGGGTTAGACTTTGCCTTACTAAGATTAGGGAGGATTTCTTTCTTGAGGATTTGAAGTAGCTGGTGATTTGAAATTGGAAGAAACAATGGTAAGTAAAAAAATATTTAATATGTAGTACAGTTGAAAACATCATACATACATACACACTTATATGTATATATTACTTTTGGCATTAAGAAGTATAAAATATGAAATTTGGTTAGAGTTATATTTAAAGTTTCATATAATTTAAGAAATTGTATTTTATATAGTTTTAGAGACATGCATTGATATTTCTGAAGAGGTCTCTATAGTTTGAAGAAGCCTTTTCATAATTCCTATGGCTTTCATGTGACAAACGAGATAAATAATGCATATAATCAATGCTAAGGCTATAAACATGATGCCATGAAAAAGCATTCTGATAGCATGGATTTAAAATAACTAGGAAACACTGACTCCAGTGCAAAAGTACTGACCTTTGCAAGACACAAATTACATTGTTTGAATCTTCAAACAAGAATTGTCAATAAGAGAATGGTTCTTCTAACTATCTAAATCTTGGCTTTTCTTGTCTGGATATTTGACTGTTATCATCTATCTTAAGATACTAACAAGCATAATCACATAAAGTAAACCAACACATTAGAAGTACTAAGTATTGACTTTTGTTTGGGCTCAACATTTACTCTTTATCCCTCTTTATTTGCTTACTATTTCATTTTGTATAAACCATTTTGAAAGTTAAATGAAACTGATACCCCTCTATTCAAGTGTCTGTATTATAATCAAAGCTAAAATATCTGTCATTAAGATGTCATTGAATTTGAGTTCAATTCTTACAGTTCTGCTAGTTCCCATTAGTCCCATCAGAGCACAGAGGGATTTCTGAAGAGGTTACTGAAGATTGTCCAGAAGTGATGATGCATGACTGACTTAGCCAGCTTTGGTACTGACCCCAGCACTTCCCTAACTGTACACAGTATGAATGTTCATATTAAAGTGTGACATTTTGGTATGCTGAGATGATTATAGGTGTGTCCAACATTTAGGAATTGTAACATGTTGTTATCATCTACTAAATTCATGCTCAAGAACCATGCAATAGAGTAAAAAAAAAAGCCTCATGTTTTGAGTAATCTTATGATTTTGTATCAGGCCTTATTCATAGTTATCCTTGACTGCATGTGGCCCACAAGCCATGTACCTATAAGATGTGTGGCAGGGGGTAAGCCCAAGAGAATAGAGACCATATGACTTTCCACAACGATTCTTAATGCCTAGGACACTGCCTGCTCCACAGTAACACCACATATTTGGTGAATAAATAGAGGTGACTAAAAAAGGCAATTTATGGCCAATAGGCCTTTCTTTACCAGAGGCATATAAAGATGCTTTTATGTTAGTCATTAGAACTAGTGTTTGTAGACTGCTTTTACAACTAACTCAGTATTTGGTGGAAGATTTTTACCCTTCCCTGACCTTTCTCCACAAGTATCTTTCTATTAGTAGGACTTGAAGGGGCCTGTCCTGCTCCTTCTCCACTCTTGCCCCCCTTCTGCCGCCACTGCCATCACAACACAGAGAAATTATGAAATACTTGTTCTACTTGTTCTAGAACAACAAACCCACACTTCTTTCAGCTTTCAGTAACTTTACCTGTGTCTCAGCAAAATTGAAGAGTATATGGGTCCCACCCAGTAAATGACTGTAACCTCTAAATCTTAATCTATAGGGTTATACAATAATCACAAGTTTTTTTGCCATGAAAAATCACAGACATAGTGTTTTAGGTATAAGAGCAAGTCATTCTGACTGCATGGGTAGAAGTTGAAGTAACTAAGATGTTCATTTTTGTCTCTTCCCCTTCCCCAACTAACCTTGCAGCTCGCTGTGGTGATGAAGTTGCTCGTTATTTAGACCACCTTTTGGCACACACTGTTCCCCATCCTAAACTAGCTCCTACCTCACAGAAGGGAGGGACCAAGGCCAAGGAGCTGCATGTACAGAGTGAGTAATGCCATTACTCCCTAGTGTTGGACACAGGTGACATGAAGCCCAAGATGGGGGCAAGACGTTGATTCCACCATAAGCAGGGACTTGGTTTTGTTCACTGCTTTGTTCCCAGCCTCTTGGGCAGCACCAAGAATATAGTAGGTACTTAAATCCTTATGAAATCAATGAATTATATGTAGTCTTGATATGGATATTGTCATGTAGTCTGGTTTGACCAGCAAGACACCGAACAAGAGAGCATATTCAGTTTTAATATAGAAGTAACATGTGGAAGAGCTTTTCTCATTTGGAAAAATTACTTCTTTAAGGGTAATTTTGTTTAAAGAGAAAGCATCATTGGAATTTCTATTATAAAACAGGATAGATAGAAACAGAGACTGACTATAAGCTATAACTGGTTCTCCCTTTATGTCCACTATAAGTATGTATCTGGTTGTTCTAGCCATGTAGCTCTCAAATATAATGGTCATTCTTCACAACATCACCACAGTCCTCTCCATAACCAGTACCTTCCATTAATAGTGTTTTCATTGGAGGGTATCTTCTCTGTGTTGCAAGAATAGCCATGGTTCCTAATACTGTTCAGTATCTCTGTGGTTGCTACATGTGGAGAGAGAGAAGGGCTCCTTAGCCACACCTAGATGATCTGAATGTTATATTATACAGAGGATGAGAATGATTGAGATGCATGCTCTTGCTACTTAAATTTTCATTGACAATTACTAACCAGATACTAAATGTGAATACTAGGGTATTGTTTAACATTGAGCCAAGGAAAAACTTAGTATACCTTTTGGTTATGCTCCCTGTAGAAAGGATTTATGCAAGGACATGAACTTAAGTTCATTAAGTTGCATTTGTCATTTGTAAATCAGGAAACCAGAATTTAATTCCCAGCACTGTTATTTACTTGCTTGACCAGTTATTTGAGCTCTGTATTGTCTCTCTGTGTAAAATGGTGAAAATGACATGCAACCTTATAGAGGTTATGGTAAGTATTTCCACTATGTAAGTAAAACATTTTAGGAACATCTGAAAGTTGATCAGAAGCTACATGTTTTTTGATTCCCTAGATAGAATCAACCAGTCACAACCTCTGGAAATCAAATATTTGCCAAGGATAGCCCAGAAAATTAAAATGTAACGAGTTCTTTCTCTTATGTGCTTTATATTTCTGTGAAAGTATCAGTGATAGCATTGTTGTGATAGTGATAATGTTAATAAATACAGTATCTTATATGTCTAGTTAATGGTACAATTATAGAAAATCTTTCCAAAAATATAAAAATATTCATTGATGAATTAGATACTTTAAAAATTACCTAATATCCACATTTCTTTGATATCAGTGAAGAAAAGTTTCAGCACTCTTGTTCTGTAAAGAACTGATCCATATGTTACCTTATTGTGATGTCAACCATGTATTTTATTAGTTTCCTACTTATTTTAACTGTTTTTATAAATATCAACTTCTTACAGATGTTCACATGTACCTTCCTACAAAGTTATTTCAGCCTTCTCGCCCTTCACTCAATTTACTTGACTCACCCCAGTCTCCACAAGATAACCAGGTAACTGCACATATTTCTGTCAGCTTTTTGTAAAAATCTGCCATCTTTTTATTGATTCTTTGGAGATTTCACATCATGTGCCCCAATCTCACTCATTTCCCAGTCCTTCCACATCTGCCTTCCACCCTTGGAACCTCCACTACAAAAGAAAAAAGAAGAAAAACAAAACATGTGGCCAACCCCTCTGGGCAACCACCTGTTCCTCTATCAGTCTCAGCTTTCTCTCATGCCGGTCACAGCTATGGCATCTCCAGTTCTACAATGCATGTACCAATCTGCCCTCTGTGTCTTTCTTGTCTCTCCATCACATATTTGTTCATCATAGTGGTGTTGGAAGCAGTGGTGTGTCATGCAGTATATGCCCTTTTCCCCAAACAGCATTACTAGCAAATATTCATGCAGTGAGTCATTCATTGGTCAGGTTCAAGGCTTCCTGTATGCCATCAACACTGGACCTTCACCAAGATTCCTCTCAGATATCTTGATGTTGCCCAGAGTTGTGGAGATTCTGTGGCTTTAGTTCTGTAGGACCAAGGCCCTTCATGCTCTCCAGCAGGTCATAGATGGGGTAGATGTTGGGGTGGACCAAGTCAAGTTCCTGGATCTGGGCCTGGGTGGTAGCTCTCCTGCACCCATGCATTTGGGGCCAGCTCCCCCACAACACCCCAGTGAAGGGAAGGCCAGCTCAGCACAGTACTTGGACATCAACATGGCTTCAGGGAGAAGCCCAGACCACAGATATCCACATAGCCTTTGGTGGTAACCCAGACCTCTGACATCAAACAGATCCCACCAAGGTAGGACCACAGACCCAGACATGGCCCCCAGGCAGCAGCACAACTCTTGGACATTAACATGGCTCCAGGCAGCAGCCCGGGCCACAGGTAATGTGAGCCATGGGTATCAATATAGACCCCAGCTGCAGTAGGACTATGGACAGAGGTCCAGATATCACCCTGGCCTCAAGTGGCAGCACAAGCCAAGAAGATCAGTTTGAGGACCACACCCCATCCACCCATCCACCACCACCCCCAGCAGCAATATGGCCCAGGGACATCAGCATGGCCCCAGGCACCATCCCAAACCACAGACATCTGAATGGCCCTTGGTGGTAACACAGGCCAAGACATCATTATAGACCCTGGTTGCTATGGGCCCACAGACCCTGACATGGACCTCAGTGGCAAACAGACCTGGACATCACTGTGGTATCAGGTGGTTATGCAGGCTCCGCATGTTAGCCTGTTCCTCACTGCCATCCTATCTCCAGTTCCACCTCTCTCCATAGCCCACAAATGTCTCTGCTTCTCTTCCATCTCCCCACCATGTACTGTATCTTTCCCATCTGTCCATCATGTTTTTTTTCATTGTAACTGCAGGGCCCAGATGGTCAGTCACTTGGGTGTTTTCTGGCCTGACTCTGGGCCTCAGGACTAGGGAGGCAGAGGCAGAAGGATCTTTGTGAGTTCAAGGCCAGCCTGGCCTACAAACTGAGTTCTAGGACAGGCTCCAAAGCTACACAGAGAAACCCTGTCTTGAAACACAAACAAACAAACAAAAATAGCCAATATGTGTAACAAGAGGTTCTTTGTCCTGGCTCATCCTGCTACCCTTGAGCCCCAAATAAACACATGGGCACTATATTAGTTATTAAACTGTAGGCCGATGACTAGGGCTTCTTATTGGCTAGCTGTGTCTTAATTATTAACCCATTTCTATCAATCTGTGTATTGCCACAAGGCTGTGGCTTACCCAGTACTCTGGCATGTTGTGACTCCTTCAGCAGCATGGCATTTCTGTGTGGTGGGCCCACTCTGCCTACCTTTCCCAGAATTCTCTTCATCCTAGTCCTGCCTATCTTCCTGCCTCATTGGCCAGACATTGTTTTATTCATCAACCAATAAGAGAAACATACACAGAAGGACAACTCCCAGTATCTCCTTTTTTCTGTCTAAATAAAAAGAATGGTTTTAACTTTAACATAGTAAAATTATATATAACAAAAGAGTTATCAAGTAAGAACTGTAGTTAACAATATTTGGCCCATTAACATTTGGGAAATTAAAATATTCTATCATCTATCCTATCTTTGTGAGTCTAAGGTTTTATATGTAACTTATCTATTATCATAACTAAGGAAAACCATAACCATAACTATCTGTATTCAACTCCAACAAAGACCACAGAAGGATAATATATAAACTCTATAGTTGACAGAGACATCTTGATGCCTGGACAGTCACCCGGAGTTTTTCTGTAACGTTGGAGCAGCCATCTTCAGCCCATAGGCCTAATGTGTCTTACAGATTTCTCAGTGAAGCAGGAAATTTGAAACTGTCTGCCTGTATTGGCAGTTTGTCAGTCATTTTTCTCTGTGTCCTGCAGAATATCTGGCAGACTCTTCCAAGAAGCAGGAACCCTGCAGAACTGTCCCATCTTGTTTTAGCAAGTTCAACAGTCACTTTCCTGTGGGTCCTGCTGGGGGTTGTCCTTCTGCTTTCTTATAGAACCCAGGACCACCAGCCCAGGGATGACTCCATCCACAATGGGTTATCATGGAGGCATTTCCTCCACTGAGGCTCCTTCCTCTCTGATGACTCTAGCTTGTGTCAAGTTGACACAAAAATCAGCCATTACATGGTGTTAAATAAAATGCTATCAAATGAAGATGTGTATCTTTTTAAGTTTACTCTTAAAGTAAACTTAGAAAACTACTTCGTTCTATCATAGGGCTTGTTGGTTTTGTTGTTTTGGCTTTTCATCAACATTTTGAGGAAAAATTGTAAGGCAGAGTCTCAAATAACTCAGAGTGGCCTTTAACTTGCTGTGTAGATAAGGATGGTCTTGAATTCCTGATCCTGTTACTTTAACCTCCCAAATGCTAGGGTTACAGGGGTGCACTACCACATCTGGCCAACATTTAGAAAATTCTTTGTTTTTTATATTTTTATTTTACATACTAACCCCAGTTACTCCTCCCTCCCTTTCTCCCACCCCTCATCCCCCATCCACATCTCAGAGAGGGTAAGGCCTTCTTTGGGGAGTCAATAAAGTCTGACATATTAAGTTGAGGCAGGACCAAGCGTCTTCCCCCTCCACCCAAAGATCAAACTACATAACTGTCACCCACATTCAGAGGGTCTAGTTCTGTCCCTTGCACGTTCCCCAGCTGTCAATCCATAGTCTGTGAGCTCCCACTAGCTGGGGTCAGCTGTCTCTGTGGTTTTCCCTATCATGCTCTTGACCCTTCTTGTTCATATGATGCCTCCTCCCTCTCTTCAACGGAACTCCAGGAGCTCAGCCCAGTGCTTGACTGTGGGTCACTGCATCTGCTTCCATCAGTTACTGGATATAGGTTCTATCATGACAATTAGAGGGTAGTCACTAATCTGATGATAGAGGAAGGTCTGTTCAGGGACCCTCTCCACTATTGCTAGGAATCTTATCTGGGGTCATCCTTGTGGATTCCTGAGACTTTCCCTAGCACCAGGTTTCTCCCTAACCCCATAATGGCTCCCTCTATCAAGATATCTTTTTCAATGCTCTCCTCCTCCATCCCTCCCCCAACTCTGTCTTCTTGATCCCTCATGTTCCCATCCCCTATCTGCATCCCTACCCCACCTCCCAGTTTACCCAAGACATATTAACTATTTTCCCTTCCTGGGGCCCTCCATGTGCATCCCTCTTAGGGACCCCCTTGTTTCCTAGCTTCTCTGGGCCTATGGATTGTAGCCTCGTTATCCTTTACTTTCTGTCTGATACCCACCTATGAGTGAGTACATACTGTGGAAATTCTTACAGAAAAAGGTTGGCAGTGGAAAGATAATTCATTCCAGGGTATCATCTAGTTAAGCACTGTTAGCTTAGTTTGTTGTTATTTATTCTAAAGGTTCCTTCTGTTCGTGTAGAAGTACATCTTCCTAGAGACCAGTCAGGGGAAGTGGACTTTCAGTCACTGGTTTCACAGTTGAAGGAGACCTCAAGCTTACAAGAGCAAGCTGATATACTCTACATGCTGTATTCAATGAAGTAAGTGATAGATATTATTGGTATACCTTAATATGCATATTGTAAGGAAGTATAGTACTGTGGAATAATACTTCTGTACACTGTGAATATATATTACTCACATTGATTATTAAAGAACTGACTGGCTGGTAGCCAAGAAGGAAGTATAGGTGAGACAGCCAAACTGAGAATGCAAGAAGAAGGGTGGAATCAGTGGAGTTGCCAGGAAACACAGAGGGAACAAGATATGCTGGAGGACAGGTAAAGCCATGAGCCATGTGGCAATGCATAGATTAATAGAAATGAGTTGATTTAAGTTGCAAGAGCTAGTTAGCAATAAGCCTGAGCTATCAACCAAACATTTATAATTAATATAAGCCTCAGTCTGTTTATTTGGGAGCTGCTGGCAGGACAGAAACTTGTGCTAACAGTATAGCATGTTAGTCAACTTTTCATTTTATACAGATACCTGAGACAATTAGCTTACTAAAAGAAAAGTTCCATTTTAGAACTTAAAATATTCCTTATTTTAATATTTGTTTTTAATTGTTTAATTATTATATGTGTATGAGTGTTTTGCTTGCATTTATGTCTGTGTTCTCCAAAGCCAGAATAGAGTGTCAGATCCCCTGGAACTAGAGTTAGACATGGTTGTGAGCCACCATGTCGGTGCTGGGAATTGAACCCTGGTCCTCTGGAAGAGCAGCCAAATGCTTATAACTGCTGAGCAAGTACTCTAGCACCTAATATTAGTATTTAATAGAAAGTATATTGATATATAACTTGTATTCATTTTACTTGTTTTTCTTCTGCTTCAAACTCATTTTTAACATAGTTCATAAAATTATTTTGTTGTTGGTAATTGAGAATACAATAAAGAATTTAAAAGTTTGTATTTTTCCTCTTATGAAAGATCAGGTTTCTACTTATGCTTAATAGTGTTTGTACTATGTTAGATACCTAGCTATCCTTAATTATTAATGAAGGGTAAAATGTATAAAAAGCCTTTAAATAATAACCTGGATTTCATTATTTTAACTATATAAAATTGTTCTTTTTCATATGGGAAAGGGAAAAACAGGTTTTATTTTGGCTCATGGTTTTGGGGAGTTTCATTCCATGATTGGTTGGCCCTATTGCTTTGGGGTCTGTGATAAGGTACCACCAGATCATGGCAGCAGCATGGGGTGAAACCATTCACCACCTCATAACTGGGAGGAGAGAGAGGGGAAGAGAGAGAGAGAGAGAGAGAGAGAGAGAGAGAGAGAGAGAAATAGAACGATGTCCTAGTATCTCCTACAAGGGCATACCTAAATAACCTAAATTCCTGCAACTAGGCCCTACCTTGTAAAGATTTCCACCATCTCCCAGTAATTCCATAGGTAGAAGAGCAAGAGTTTAACATTTGAAGGCTATCCTAGGTCTAAACTATAGCATACAGTAAATGGAGCACAGCATCAGAGCTTCATGTACCTGTTTACTACAGTTTAACAATATGCTTATGGTGTGACGTCAAAGCCTGCATTGTCTACATTCACCATTAGTATTATTCCTACCTCATAAAACCATTATAAGGATCCATAAAGTCAGGGCTGAAGAGATGGTTCAGTGATTAAGAGGACTAGCTCCTCTTCTAGAGAACCTAGGTTCAATTCTCAGCACACATAATGGCTCACAACCATCTATAACTCTACTCCCAGAGGATCTAACACTCTCTTCTGGTCTCAAGCACACCTATGCTTCACAGATATACATGTAGGCAAAATATCCATACACATAAAATAAAAATAAATGAATAAAAGTGTGTGTGTGTATGTGTGTGTGTGTGTGTGTGTGTGTGTGTGTGTGTGTGTGTGTGTGTGTGCATGCACACAATGACAGGCCAAAGTAAGTAATCAATAACAGATAAATATCACTATTGTGGTTCTTATTTAGCCTCCATTAATTAGAGGAAGCCTACTGGTATATTGTGTGTGCATGTGTGAATATTTTGTGTGTGTACATATATATGCATGCTTGTGTATGAGGGTTGTGAAGGTGTATGTTTAGAGATGCACATGCATGTGTTTGTAGGTCAGAAGACAACCTTAAATGTCATACCTCAGGCATTGTGCTTCTTGCTTTTTGATACAGGGTAACTCATTGGCTGGGGGCTTTCCAATTAGCCTAGGCTAGCTACCTCTGCTTCCCCAGCACTGGGATTACAATAGTGTGCCACTACACCTAGCTTTTTTACATTGGTTCTGAGAATCAAACAAGGTCTCATGCTTGCATAGCAAGCACTTAACCAGCTGTGCTGTCTCCCCAGCCCTATATTCTTTTCCCCCATTTTTTATTTAAATTAGAAACAAGATTGTTTTACATGTCAGTCCTAGTTCCCTCTCCCTCCCCTCCTGCCCCCCCACTAAACCCTACCTATCCCATACCATTTCTGCTCCCCAGGGAAGGTGAGGCCTTCCATGAGGTGGGTGTCTTCAGAGTCTGTCATATCCTTTGGGATAGGGCCTAGGCCCACCCCCGTGTGTCTAGGCTCAGGGAGTATCCCTCTATGTGGAATGGGCTCCCAAAGTCCATTCCAAAGTACTGATCTACTACAGGAGGACCCATAGATTTCCGAGGCCTCCACACTGACACCTACATTCATGGGGTCTGGATCAGTCCCATGCAGGTTTCCCAGATATCAGTCTGGGAATCAAGAACACCCCGTTATTCAGGTCAGCTGTTTCTGTGGGTTTCACCAGCCTGGTCTTGTCCACTTTGCTCATTACTCCTCCCTCTTTGCAACTGGATTCCAGTTCAAATCAGTGTTTAGCTGTGGCTGTCTGCTTCTACTTCCATCAGCTGCTGGATGAAGGTACTAGGATGGCATATAGGTTAGTCATCAATCTCATTATCAGGGGAGGGAATTTAAGGTAGCCTCTCTACTGTTGCTTAGATGGGGTGTCATCCTTGTAGATCTCTGACATTACCCTAGTGCCCGATTTCTCTTTAAACCTATACTGGCTCCCTCTCTGATGGTATCTCTTATTTTGCTCTCCTCTATTCTTTTCCCTACATAACCTTCCTGCTCCCTTATGTCCTCCTCACTCCTCCTCTTCTCCCCTTCTCTTTCTCCTAGCTCCCTCTCCCCTCACCTCATGCTCCCAATTTGCTCAGGAGATCTTGTCCCTTTCACCTTCTCCTGGGGAACATGCATGTCTCTCTTAGAGTCATCCTTGTTTCTTAGCTTCTCTGGTGGTGTGGATTGTAGGCTGGTAATCCTTTGCTCTATGTGTAAAATCCATATATGAGTGAGTGCATACAATGTTTAGTTTCCAAAACACCAAATAATCCAATTAAAAAGTGGGGTACAGAACTAAATAGAGAATTCTCAATACAGGAATCTAAAATGGCTGAAAGACACATAAGAAAAAGTGCTCAACCTCCTTAGCCATCATGCAAATCAAAACAACTCTGAGATACCATCTTACTCCTGTCAGAATGGCTAAAATCAAAAACACTAATGATAGCTTATGCTGGAGAGGATATGGGGAAAGAGGAACACTCCTCCACTGCTGATGGGAGTGCAAACTTGTACAGCCACTTTGGAAATCAGTATGGCGATTCCTCAGGAAAATGGGAATCAGTCTACCTCAAGATCCAGCAATTCCTTTCTTGGGCATTACCCAAAGAGTAGATGCTCATACATCTGTTCAACTATGTTCATAGAAGCATTATTTGTAATAGCCAGAACCTGGAAGCAACCTAGATGCCCCTCAACTGAAGAATGGATAGAGAAAATGTGGTACATTTACGCAATGGAGTACTACTCAGCAGAAAAAAAAATGGAATCTTGAAATTTGCAGGCAAATGGATGGAACTAGAAGAAACCATTCTGAGTGAGGTAACTCCCTCACTTTAACCTTTAACTCCCTGAATACTGTTCAGGCAGCTCAGCAGGTTGAAGAGTCTCCCCTCAAAAAAAAAGTCTCCCCTCCAAGTGAATCAGTTGGTCTAAACCTTTCCCAGGCAGCACTGCTGGTTTCTGTTTCTTCTAGGCAGTTGGTGAGTCTCAGAGTCTTTTTTGGAGCTTGGCTTGTCTGAGATTTCTTTTTGGCAATTTGATGGTCTGAGAGTGACTCGTGTCAGTCACAAAAAGACAAGCATGGTATGCACTCACTCATATATGGATTTTACACATAGAGCAATGGATTACCAGCCATCCCTATAGTCTTAACTCTCAAATGAAAAAAGAAAGTGGCTGTAGTAACATATGCTTGTAAATCCAGCACTCAGGAGGCTTATGTAGCATGATGACTTCCTTGTATTCAAAGCCAGCTGGAATTTCATAGTGAGTTTGGATGCCACCAAAGTCTAACTTTGTGAACCAATGAGTTTTATTGAAATTACTTACAGAAGTATGGGTGAGGCGTTACTTACAGGTACAGAAATTACTCACAGATAGCTGCGTCACCAAAACCCATCCCAGCTTGGGTGGCAGTTCACAAAAGTTGGGAACCTTTAACTCCCTGAATACTGTTCAGGCAGCTCAGCAGGTTGAAGAGTCTCCCCTCAAAAAAAAAGTCTCCCCTCCAAGTGAATCAGTTGGTCTAAACCTTTCCCAGGCAGCACTGCTGGTTTCTGTTTCTTCTAGGCAGTTGGTGAGTCTCAGAGTCTTTTTTGGAGTTTGGCTTGTCTGAGATTTCTTTTTGGCAGTTTCATGGTCTGAGAGTGACTCCTGTCAGTATTTATTGCTTACTCTGGGAGTGAGGGACCTAATGCATCTGGTCAGTTTCAGGGACTTCCTGAAGCTAGTTTAAATTGTTTACCTTCTGGTTTAAGGTGCTTCCCTTCAGGTTGGAATGTTTCAATCTGGGAGGAAACTGGTACACAACAGCTATCCTGGGCTCTAGAGTGAGACCCTGCACAAACCCCTCTCCAGTAAAAATCATAGAAGCTTATCAGAAAAAGAAACTGTACTTTTGAGTATTTGCTTATATGTCAGTCATCCTACTAGGTATTGGCTGTCTTCAACTCAGCAT